GTCAGATGATTTCACAATTTCGTGCTACCAGACGTTCAGAGAATAGGTTATTTCAGTCTTCTGCAAACTCTTCCAGGGAATAGCAAGAGAGGAAACACTTGTTCTGTGAGGCCAGGACCACCATGATACCCAAACAAGGCAAGGCCAATACAATAAAATAAAAATTGCAGCCCAATCTTACTCTTGCACCTTAATGCAAAAATCCTAAACAAAATCTCAGCAAACCAAATCCATCAGTTTACTAAGAAGACAATACCTTGGTTTTATCCCAGCAATGCAAGGGTGATTTGACATTAGATAATCCAGGCACATAATTTCTTTCATTGATAGATTAAAGGTTAAAAGCTGTAGATGTAGAACACTCATTTGTAATTAATGTAAAACAGAAACATCTTGGAAAACCAGGATGAGAGGGGAACTTATAAAACATTAGAAGAAATCTATTTAAAATCCATAATTCCCTTCTTTTGATGGCTGAATAATATTTCATTGTATTTATGCCACATTTTCTTTATCATTCCTCACCATGCACACAAAAGGTAATTATGTGAGGTGGTGGAGGTGTTAACTAATCTTATTGTGGCAATATTTTGCAGCATAAACATGCATCAAAGAAATCATCACACCTTAAACCTAACACATTGTTAGGTGTCACATCACAGTAAAGCTGGGAAGAATTAAAAATAAACACACACAAAAATGAAATACAAGTAAAAAATAAAACCAGTAACAAGGCGGGGTGTGTGTGTGTGTTTCCAGTATTCCTGCTTCTATTCTACATTTTACAGTAATGTCTGGCAGGACATAAGAAATAAAAATCAACAGGGTTCATCAGCAAAGGGGAAACAGTACTGTATCATTTGCAGATGATATGTCAGCAGAGAAAACCTAAAGGAATCTACAGGTAAATTATTAGAAATAATAAGAGAGTTTAGTGAGATTATTGGATTCAAGATCAATATGTACAAATCAATTGCCTTTCTCTGTACCTACAAAAATTAGAAAACACACACAAGAGATAGCATTTAAAATAGCAATAAGAAGCATAAGGCACCCAGGAATAAATCTAATAGAAGATGTGCAAGACCAATATGAAAGCATTTACAAAACCATTATAAGACATTAAAAAGGATACAAACCAATGAAAAGATGTATTTATGGATAAGGAGACTCAAGATTCCACGGATGCTGTTTCTCCCCGGGTGGTTCTACGCATAGATCCCTTGCAATGACAATGAGAACCCCAACAGTGTTAGATGAATTTGACAGGCGATTCTAAAATTTCTGTGTAAGAGCAAAAGACCAAAAATAGGGAGGATATTCCTGAAGGAAGAGGGGAAGAGGAAGAGAAGTAAGAGGAAAATGAAGAGGGGAATTTCTTCTACCACATGGGCAGATTGCTATCAGGCTGTACCAGTTGAGACACGGATTCTGATGAAGGAGCAGACAAATGGACCAATAGATCAAAAGAGGAATCGCAGAAACAGACACACACCTGAGTAGAAACCAGGTATACGACGGAAGTGGCAGGACACATCCGGAGGAAAGGGAGGATGGGTTGCCAACAGAGTGCCAGGACAGCTAGTAAAAATTAGATCCCTACCTCATGCCTTACATGAACACCAGTTCTGGGTGGAATAAAGATTTCAGTGTAAGAGACAAAGCTGTAAAATGTCCAGAAGAAAATTCTTTTCTGACTCAGGCAGACAAAGAATATCTTCCACGGGACACACACAAAAAATCATCGCATTCAATTACATTAGCATTAAGACATTCTGGTCATGGAAAGACAGCAACAAAAGATGAAAAGACAAGCCACTAATTGGGAAGGGACATTGGCAGTACTTAATGACAAAGATTTTATATCCAGAATAATAAGTGGATAATACTAATCATGTCAACCCACTTGAAGAAAATGAGCCAAAGACATGAAAGACACATCACTGATGAAGAAAGAGGAATGGCAAATAAACAGAAGCCCAGCTCCATTACTCAGTGATCAAATTAAGACCACATTTTGCACCTCTATATTGGCGGAAATTATGTAGTCTGGCAATATCAAGCATTGTTATGGATGCAGAGTAATAGGGATAGTCGTGCAGCTGGTGGGATGTGGAAACGGGCATGACCACTTTGGAAAACAGTTTGCAAGTATTCTGTAAGGTGGACGATTTGCATACCGTACAGCCCAGTGACCTCCCTCCTTGGCCTGTCTCTAGAACATACATTTTCCTACTGCAGAGTGACCCCTTCATGGGCCTAGCCCTTTTATTTTAAAAAGGGAAACTATAGGGGCACCTGGGTGGCTCAGCAGGGAGCCTTCTTCTCCCTCTCCTCCCCACTTGTGCTCTCTCTCTCTCTCTCAAATAAATAAATAAATCTTTTAAAAAAATAAAAGGAAACTAGAAAATGTCAGAGGTCATCATTCATTTTAAGGTTAACTGTTTTGCAATGTTGTTCCTGGCATATGTGAATATATATTTGCAATGGGTTCCAATGTAAAAAAGCATTTCATATGAAAATGATGGCAAAGAATTTGAAAAAGAGTGTCTTGCATGTTTGCCCTGGGCAGCATGCAGAAAAATGTGCACAGCTGCATTATTTACAATCACACAAAATGGGAAAAACAAAAAAGATATCGGCTGACAGGAGCATGGACAGGATAATTAACCTGCATAATGGGATGCTACACAACTTCAGAAATGCATAAACTATGGTCACATGTCATAATGGGTGAATCTTAGAAACATCATATGAACCAAAAAAGCCAGTCCCGGGAGACTGTAAACAACATAATGTCATAATTACAAAGCTCAAAACTCCACTAAACACCATCTTATTATTATGTGCATGATAAATAGATTTCTAAGGAGAAGAGCAGGAGGGATGCCCATGCGATGGATTATTACTCAGCCATAAAAAGGGATGAAGTTCTGACATCTGACATTGATGAACCTTGGAAAACGTGATGCTCAGTGAAAGAAGCCAGATACCAAAAGCCACATATTGTACAATGGTACAATTCTTTTACATAAAGTAAGAACAGGCAAATCCACAGAGACAGAAAGTAGATCAGAGGTTGTCAGAGCCTGGGAGGGGCTGGGGAGGGCAGAATGGGAGTGACTGCTGACGGGGACGGGGTTTCTTTTTGGGGTGATGAATGTGTTCTCGAATTAGTGATGGTGGTTGCACAGTTTTGTGCATATACTAAAAAGCACTGAAGTGTACACTTTTAAATGAGTTTTATGGTATGTGAATTATGTGTTAATTTTTAAAAAATGTCTTTGGGGCGCCTGGGTGGCTCAGTCGGTTAAGCATCCGGCTCTTGGTTTTGGCTCAGATCATGATCTCAGGGTCCCAGGATCGAGCCCTGCGTGGGGAGTCTGCTGGAGATTCTCTCTCTCTCTCTCTCTCCCTCTGCCTGCCTCCCCACTCCTGTGCTTTCTCTCTCTCAAATAAATACATAAATCTTAAAAAAAAAAAAAGTCTTTGAAGAAGAACAAGGGAGTGATGACAAATGTATGGATATCTGTTGTTCAGGATCCTGTTCACCTGTGGGAATGAGGCAGGGGGATGGGCTGGAGGAAAGTACAGGCGTACTGTTGGAGGAAATGCAGCAGGTGTTTGTAAAGGTCTTGTTCTTACGTTATGGGTGTTCATCTTATTACTCTGCTCCGTTATATGTGTGTGCTACATATATTTTTATACATATAAAGTCTGTAAACTTGAAAAGAATTACAAATATTAGATGAGATGGCATTAGAAGCAAAGCACTGCCTTTTGATTGATACTCACTTCCCGAGTGGCCGCCTCCAAGTCCACGGCTGTGCCTCAGGGGGACTCTGGATGCAGCTGACCTCTGGTGGCCGAGAGGTGCAGTGCACCTGGGGCTGCTCGCCTGGGGCCGGGAACGTCATAGGGGCGATCCCTCAGAGCAAGCATGGTCTGGCCACCCGATACCAGTCCAGGGGTCAGGCCACTGCCCGTGTCACCCCCTGGATAAAGGGCGGACAGCCTCGTGCTTTCCTGGCTTGGGGTTTTCCCCTGCTTTTCCTTGCTGGCTCTTCACCACACTTCCTTAAGCCCAGGCGTGAGGTGTGTGTAACCCCACTAAAATCTATCCCGGGAAGGGACCATCTGGCCACCTTCTGCCTCCATCCAGATGGCCCATCCTGGGGTCCCTGGCCGCAGAGACAGGGGCTTGATGAGCTCACGAGCAGAAGTTCAGGGAAGGTGAGAGGTGAGGGCGCTGAGGTTCCGAGAACCAGCCTTGGTTTGAGCAAACCGCCTTTCTGGAGAATTATGAACTAATCCTGTGGGAGGTGTTGGCTCGGGCACGTTAGAGGTGAGGGTGTCAGGGGTAACTGAAGGAGAGCTGTCAGCATTTCAGGGGTTCCCGTATGGAGACCAGTAATCAGCAGGACTCCCGCCCCACGTGGCTGGCTGGGCTGGGGAGGCATTCGCTTACCTGCCCCATTTAATCTCATGGAAGAACAACTTCTGCCGGTGGGTGTTGGCTGTGGGGACCCGGGCCAGGAAGTGCCAGACATCTTAAGTGAACTGGGGGTGGCCACGGCAGGATGGCCTGGAGACAGGGGTGCAGCTGGGGTCATTACCAAAGCCCTTGGGGTCTTCTGGCTCCCGCATGGGAGAGGCAGTGTGGTGGAGGGCTTCCTGAGCTGGGTGAGGACCTGGCCTCCATTGCTCACCATCATGGGTGTCATTTATCCTCTTCAGGCTCAGGTTCTTCACCTGCAGAATGGGTCAGTCATCGTGCGTGCAGATGGCATGGATTCCCTTGTAGTCACTGAATGATTGCCCGCGGAGCCCTCTGTAAGAGTCAGTAAATGGTAGCAGCTTCTGCTGTCTCGCTTGAACTCTCACCGTGCGGAGAGTACTCAGTATAGGGCTGGGAGCCCAACTCAGCCCCCCTGCTCAGGCTGAGGGTTGGAGTGGGGAGTCTCCCATGCAGAGAATGACTTTTCCTCCTCCATCCCCAGACACCATGGAGGTGGTGCTGATCTTCCTGTGCAGCCTGCTGGCTCCCACCGTCCTGGCCAGTGGTAAGTACCCCTCCAGGTCCTGGCCCTTTGGGACCGTAGGGCTGGGGGGCTCTCAGATTCGACATGGCTGATCAGCGACTTCCCTGCCCCCACTTTAGTCAGCAGAGAAGGTGCTAGAAGGCAGCAGGTGTCCCCAGACCCTACGCCAGGCTGCCCACCTCTTCCCACAGGGCCCGACAGGCTCTGCTTTCAGCCCTCAAGCCCTCCACGTCCCTGTAGACTTTTGGCCGGAACCTGGGAGCCAGGCCTACTCTGAATTCTGGCCTGGTACAAGTCACATGTCCTTCCTTCTTTCTCTGCTTCCCCATGTGTAACAAGAGGGTGGCAGACCCTGCCGTGGGGGGTGATGTGAGAATACAAAGGGTGCCGATGCGCTGTGGAGGCAGAATCTCACTGGGGCTCTGACAGTACCCCCCCCCCCGCTCTCAGGCGGGCCCTCGCCCTCCGTACTTCCCCAGGCATCTCTGCTTAATGGGCCCTCCTCCGCAGGCGTCCCTTTGTGGGAAGTGAGGTTTGTGAGGCTTGGGGGAGGTTCTGGAACCACAGGTGTCGCTGTCTTTCTCTTACCCACACTTGTTTGTTTTTTTCAGCAGCTGAGCAGGAGAAAGAAAAGGACCCTTTTCATTATGGTGAGCAGTGATGGGAACTCTGGGTGGGGAGGGGGGTGCAGCCCTGGCCCCCCGGGGAGGCGGAGGGTGAGGCACACCCCTCCCCGTCTTCTTTCCCTTCCATCTCTCCCCCTTGCTCCTTTGGCAGACTACCAGACGCTGAGGATTGGGGGATTGGTGTTTGCCGTGGTTCTCTTCTCGGTGGGGATTCTCCTTATCCTGAGTAAGTTCTGGACACTGTTCCCTGTCCACTCTGTAAGCTGCTAAGCAGGTGGAGAACGGTGTCAGAGCCCTGCCATGCTCTCCCTGGGAGAGGGGAGGAGACTGTCCATTCTCCCTGTTATCTCTAGGACCTAATACAGCGCGGGACACATAGTAAATACTCAGTTAAACAGTCAAGAATGAACAAAATAAATGCTTGATGAAAACCAGCGGGTAATAAGAAGAGGCAGAGTAGCTCTCCCGGTGCTGTGTCCGGGAGGCATACGTGGGGGAGAGTCACAGGAGATAGGGGATGTCCTCAAAGTGCTCCCAGGGAGCTGCCCTGTGTTTGTCTTTCCCACATGAGCCTGGGCTGCACGGAGCCCCGTGCACTTGTCTGATCAAACAGACTGTGGTAGGGTGTCATCAAAGCCGCTGAATGTTGAACCTTGGCCTCAGAAGAACCCTACTCCGACAGAGGATTGCTGCATGTAGCTGTGCTTTTTATGTAGTCCACATGGTGGCCCTGCTGTGGTCAAGCCGGGAGCATGACCTTGAGCTCCAGCCGGGAGCATGACCTTGGGTGGTTTCTTTGCCTTTCAGGTCGCAGATGCAAATGCAGTTTCAATCAGAAGCCCCGGTAAGGATGCTGTGTCTGTGGACATCTGAGGTGACATTAGGAGGGGACAGGGAAGGCCCCCTGGTGTGTGAGCCCAAATGAGTGTTCTTTTGGATTCTAATCCCAGAAAGAGGCCATGTTGGGAGTAGATGTTTTGAAGATTGCCAGGCATATATTCTGGGACAAAGGAGAGGTCAAAATGTCGAGGGTTAGCCCCTCCTTTCTTCTGATGTACACTGGGAAGGGGGGTAGGCCAGAAGGTGCTGGACTCTTGTCTGGAGGCCCTTGAGACAGTTGGGCTTGGGAGAAGGGAAGCAGAGGGCCTCAGAGCTTCTCGGGAGGTCCTCCTCTCTTCAGGACCTGGGACACTGTCTCTGCTTGTCACCTGTTCATGGGGCTCTTTGGCTGAGTAGAAGCTTGGGCTCCCGGTCATTCACCCCCCACCCATAAAGGGCATACCCCATTAGTCCACTACAAAAACCAGGGGTAGCACTGGACCTCAGAAGTCCGAAGTCTGGCGGGACGCACCCCAAGCCCCCAGGCGCCCTAAGCCACTCCTTCCCAGCACTTAGCTGTCTCGAGGGCCAACACTGAAGGGTACCTGTGAGTTCCCCTGACACTTGCACCCTTTAGTCCCAACTTCTCCTGCTGCCTCTTGGTGGAGAGTGCGCCAGCCCTCCAGTGACTCGGAGGGGATGGACCCAGACAGCCGTGCGCGGCGAGGAGAGTGGGTTCGCCGTGCAGGCCACTAACGGGAGGGCTGTGACTCTTGCAGGGCTCCAGGGGATGAGGAGGCCCAGGTGGAGAACCTCATCACTGCAAATGGTAACTGTCATGACCACCAGCCCGGGTGGAATAGAAGTAATTGGGGAGGGTCCTCATATAGCTCAGGGAGGGATGGTTGTCTGACACCACGGCCTCGCCAGAGCTCACCAGATGTGCTCCCATGTCTGTGCTCCCTCGCCTCCACCAAACAGGCTACGACTCGTGACAGCCACTGTGTATAAGGCATCTGCTTTGTCTGGGACACCATCCCAAGCGCTTTATAGACCCCACTTCACGTGCACACAGCCTGGTGGTGTAGACATCGCTACTGCATTTTATAACGGAGGGACCCAGGAAAGTTAAGGAATGTGCTAAATTCCTATAACCAGCAGGTAGCGGGGCAGGGATTTGCCCCTGGGTCTGTCTGACCCCAAATCCTGCCACGTCGCGTCTTCGCTGTAGGGTTCGGACCCTCCAGCGTCAGGCATGGGCACAGCTTCCACGGGGGCCGCCCGCCGGGGCGAGGGGTCTGTTCACTACAATCTGTTCTTCTTTTTTTTTTTTCTAGCAACGGAGCCCCAGAAAGCAGAGAACTGAAGTGTAGCCCTCAGGTGGGAAGGTGAGATTCTGTCTGCCTGTGTCTTCCCCTGGCCCCCTCGCTGTTCCTGCCTCAGAGAAGTGCAGCGGGCCCCGCTTCTGTTATGAGCCGCGCTCTGAGGGCAGTGAGACAGACGGACCGACACAGCGGAGTACTGCGCATGTGCAGTAAACGGTTGGGAACTAGGGCCTCTGCACAAGCCAGTGGTCAAGTTCACGGGGTGTCATCTTAGCTGCCGTGTGGGCAGGACTTGGGGGTGAATTACGGTTGGCGAAATGCTCCCACTCTCCAAGTAGCATAAAGAGAATGGCTTTTAGTGATGATTCAGAAAGTATCTTAGGGCCACTCCAAAAAAAATTCAACATCTTTTTTTTTTTTAAAGATTTTTTTTATTTATTTATTTGAGAGAGAGAATGAGAGAGAGAGCACATGAGAGGGGGGAGGGTCAGAGGGAGAAGCAGATTCCCTGCCGAGCAGGGAGCCCGATGCGGGACTCGATCCAGGGACTCCAGGATCATGACCTGAGCCGAACTGAGCCACCCAGGCGCCCAAAATTTAACATCTTATAATGAAACTTTCAAAGTCTACACAAAACTAGGGAGAACAGTGTATTGCTGCCCCCCCGCCCCCACTCCGGCATCCTCCATGCACAGCCTGTACGCACATTGTGTTTAGCATTTGCTTCCATTGTTCGTTGTAGGGACACGGGAGAGTCATAACCGTCAAATGCCTTAATTTTCCAAAATGCTGCCACGCACAGACTCGCTGGAGCCTGCCGGAAGATGTGGGACAGGTGGGGTTGAGCCCCATTTTGTAGATAAAGAAACTGAGGTCACCGAGAACAGCCAGATAGCAAGTGACAGGTGGAACTTGAAGTCAGGCCCTTTAGCTTCGGGCCATTTCCACCACACCCCTCAGTGTCTGCTCATGTCACTCTGTGACCTCCCTGGAGTATATGGGGGCCCGGGGGGTGCGGAGGTCAGTCTCCTGTCCGCTCACATCTGCCTCACCTAAGGCATAATAGGCAGGTCTATGACTTTATCCTACATTGTCAGTGCAGAGATTTCTGGTACCGAAATGCCTGGTACACCAGCTTTTCCCGTGAGCGCAATTACACTGTGTACTTGCATAGCACGTGAATTTTTTCCTAAGCGCTTTTGTGTCATCATGACAACCCCATGGGCGGGCAGAACAGGGCTCATTATGTCCATCTTCGATGGGGCTCGGAAAGGTCAGTGATCGCCTACGCACGAGGTGGCCGTAGGTGCCAATCTAGGAGGCGGGCGTCCAGGCTGGTGGCGTGGTGTTCTGTCCCTTTGTGGTGGCTGGCAGGTCCCATCTTGGGGATGGTGGGGGGGGGGGCTCGAGGGAGGGAGGCATAAGCTAGCAGTTGTTGTGTCTTTTTTTTTTTTAAACTAGGACTTCCTCAGAAACCTTGTTCTCTTAGATCTCGGGACTGAGTCACTACTGGGGGTGTCCTGACATAGAAACCCTGGGTTTAACACTTTTCTTTCCACGTCTCCCAGGTTCCAGCCCCGCTGAGAGAAGCACTCCCCGAGGGCCCCCCCCTCCTCTGCCCCCACCTCCTTTCCCTGCATCTCAGGCTCGTCTTCCTCGTGTCCCCAGGAATGTGGTGCTTGGAGTGGGTCTCATCCTGCGGGTTTCAGGGGGCACAGGGGCTGCGCTAAAGGCAGGGGGGCAGCCGGTAGAGAGTCCTGGAAGGAACCCAGGTTGTGTTTTAATTTAAATTCTCTCCCCCTTTAGCCTCCAGAACCTGAAGGGAGCTGCTCGAACCTTTAGATGCAAATGTTGATGCTTACGAACACTGGCCACTTCGGCAGCAGATCTTTCCCCAGGAGAAGCCAAGAACGTGTGCGTCCCCTGCTCCTTCCCTGTCCCCAGAACACGGTCCACAACTTAATGATGCAACTAACACCCGCCTCCCCTGCCCGCAGCCTGCGGTCTCGTCCACCTCCTGTGACGTGTCTCTGTATGTGTTTGATGACTGTGGTCTCTGTTGCTGCTTGTTTGTGGATAATGTTGTATTTTAGTGACCCTGGACTCACTTTCCTGGGCGGGTGCTGAGCCATGGTGCAATCGGCCCCTCCCTTCTCCCCTGGGCCCCCCATCATCTCCCAATCCCGGGAGTCTGCTTTTTCCCTTGAGAGACCAGTCCCTTCTCTTGAGTGAGGGGTGGGTGTAGGTAGGGGTAGGGGGCATGGGTGGGGGCCTCCCGTTGTCTTGGGACTTGGGAAGGTTTATATGACCTTTGTGATCATTCTCCATGGCCTCTCTTCACTTCCTTCACAAGAGCCTGGCTTCTGTATTCTAGCCCCGACCCGAGTCTGTTCTGGGGTCTCTTGGCAATGGGGGGTTCACAGCAAGGACCTGGTGAGCCCAGCTTTGCCTCCAGGCAGGCTCTGCCCTGTCCATGGTCATTTCCTCTTGGGGCTTCTGGCACGGAGTCCTCATCTGCCCTGCACCATGGCAGCGCAGCCTGGGATCCCGGGCTCGGGGCTTCTACCCTGCCCCTTGGGGAATGTGCCCCTTGCATATCTTCTCAGCAATAACCCCATGGGCTCTGGAACCCTGCTCCTCTCCCTCCACCCCCCCGTCTTCCCTGCTTCGGAGACTCCCAGCTACAGCCCAGCCCTTCTGGACTCAGACGCCTGTCCCTGAATGAGGTCTCTGGGAGGTGAGGGCTGAAGGGACCCATTCTGTGGGGGCCAGCACTGTGGGGAGGGGCAGCCAGGAGAGCAGGGGACCTTTGCTTCTCTGCGCTCCCCCCACCACCACTGGCCGGGCAGCGGATGGCTCCGCCCCTGTGCTCCGCCCATCCCTGGTTAGAGAGGCAGGTGCAGCTGCCGGCTGCAGGTTAGAGACCTGGCAGGTACGCACAGCCCTGCTGCCGAGGGAGCAGCGAGAGGTCGAAGGTCCAGCCAGACCCCGCCTGTCCCATCCATCGTGTTCTTGTGGAAACTAGCCAAACCGCACCGCTGTGACCGGCACTGCTGTTCTCCGTGTTGTGACCTATCCTCTCAACAACAAAAAGGAATAAAATACCGTTTGTTTCCTAGTGGCTCTGGAGTGCTTTCCTTTGTGTCAAGGAGCTGGAGTATTTGTAGGGCCTTTGGTACTTGTAGGGCCCCAGGGACTCTGTCCTTGGTCAGAGGGAGGAGGTGCCCGCTGAAGAAGCAGTCAGGGGGTGTGTGTGGGCCAGCAGCTTCTCCCCTTCCCCGCACCCCTTCCTCCTCCCGCCTCCCCCTGCTCCTGGGTCAGTGGGTCCAGCCGCTGCCCCATGGCAGGACCTGTACCTTATGCACGGCCTGCACAGAAGCAGAGGGTCCCGGTGGCTCCACTGAGGGCCTGCTGGCCGAGAACCAAAGGTTCTAACCTCTCCCTTTGGTCAATTCTGGGGCTGCTACCCGGGGACTTGGCAAAGAGGGTGTGGGTGGGTCACTTGGGTTGTGATCAGAGCCCTTACTTACCCTTTCATCTCTCTCCAAACCCAAATACCCCCTCCTCTGTGAAGCCTTCCTGGACTTCAGGTAGAATGAGTCCTTTCCTTTCTGTGCTCCAGTCACACAGGGTCCTGCCTTTATTTTCACATTTGAGGATCCATACCTCGGCTCCAAACTCTGGAGGCCAGGTAGATAATATCCATTTGTGAATCCGCTGTTGTGACACGAGATGGCTCGTAGGGGCCAGGGGTCACCGACAGTGTCCTCCCAAAGACATTCCGGTTCAGTCTTTGGGAAAGGACTGTTGGCCAAATGAGCCCGGCTGCAAGCTGATCCCCTGGGAGGTCACTGGTGTGCGCCCCCATCTCTGTGCGTCTTGTGCGTTTTTATCGTGAGTCACCGTTCCCAGGGGGCAAGGACTAAGTCTTGTTCTAATGTGACTTCATGGCCTGCCCCCCCAAACCTTCAAGGAGTCTATCTAGGTTCTATGAGTTGTTTAGAGCTGCAGAATTCGCAGGTGCCGGTCCCGAGGGCCTGAGGGCTCCAGCTACCTCCCGGCCACCCCTGGGACATGCACGGTACCGTCCTACTTATGCAACTGTCCTGCCCTCTCTCCCCCAGGTCTTTGATAAAACGGAGGCTTTCATTGAGATCTAGCTCAATATTGTCGACTCTGTGATTATGGAGGCTAAAAAACCTCTGGTCGCACCTCAAGTTTGTGAGTAAGCTACTGACCACTGTTGGTGGGACACTCGGGGGTCAGGGAATTTACAAGGCTGGTAGCAGTTTCAGAGCTTGGCCAGAGGAAGACCCTCAGAGGCCCCAGGAACGCAAAAGATTGGGGGTACCTCCCCACATTCGTTATTAAAGCCTTAAACTCTACAATAAGTGTGAGGAAATCTAATGGGGGAGATTCTGAGTTTTCTCATGGTAATCCTGTTCATAACAGAGTGATGTTACCAGCTCTAGCATATATAGATGAGTTTTCCCTCCTTTGCCTGACTCTTGGCACCCACTCTTTTGCCTCCTGCTAACCCAGCCTTATTTCTGAGGTAGGTAGGATAGTCACACTTCTGATAAACTTGTGGCTGGTCTAGGTCATACAGCTGCCTGGTAGAGGGGCTAGGAACCGGGCTCAGGCTGTCTGTCTCCAAAGTTCCCTCTGGCACACCGCACGGCCTGGTTTCCCTCTGCAGGGGAGGGAAGGGAGGGAAGACAAAGAGAGAGGATCACCTGGCTTGGTGTGACCACACCTGGAACCTGGCTGGCCCTTCAGGGCGTACACTAGCAAGACTACCCTCTGGGTCTTATGGCCTGGAAATAAGACACATAATGAAGAGTCAAAGAAACTGATGATCAAAATAATGGCAATAATATTATTATTAATAACGAAATAAAACAGCTAATATGTGCTGAACCCTGGGCTGACCACGTCACACAGATCAACTCATTCGGAACTCACAGCACTGCCCGAAGGTATCTCAGTTTTACAGATGAGGAAGCTGCCGCTCGGTGGGACTGGCATGAGTTTGCACTCCTGGGGGCAAAGCCAAGGTCCAGCCCAGGCCCATCCAGCTCCAAGCCTGTCTCCCTCTGCACAGCAAAGGAAAGGTTGCAGACCCATCAAGTGCACATGGGAGGAGGCAGAATTTGGCCTTGTGTGGGGGAGTCCTTGGTTCCCACAGCCGTGATAATCCCAAACTGGAGTGAACTCCCCATCACTGGAGGTATTCAAGGGGATGGGATCCTCTGGCCAAGACGGACTAAGAGAATCTACCCAGGATGGCCTAATCTACCAGGTCCAGGCTCAAATTGAGGAACAACCCCTCCCGCCCCACCCCATCCCACCCCCACACATAATGGGCAAGCCCTTTCTCCCTCTCTGGTCTAGGGCTGTAGAGCCAGGGAAGAAGAATCCAGAATCCAGGCATGGATTGCTATTTAATGTGTGTCTTCCCTCCCGGACCAGCACTCCATGCTGGGCAGAACAATGTCTGTCCACTCAGCCCCCCGCCCTGGCAGGTGACTGCAATCTGTAATTTGGTTGGATATAGGAACTGTAACCTGGTTATACAGGGAAGTTGGCATGTCGCGCCACTTCCCAGAAGGGAATGCTGAGTCCCCTGGCCTCAGACAGTGATCCCAGGTGTCCTGCGCATTTTGCCTCCCAAATACTGGCCCCTCCCCATGAATTCCACTCCAGAGATTTTCAAGTCTATTTGCATGTTTACTTAACACCACATAAAAATAGGTCAATCTGCCTTCTGGGCCCCCAGGCTGTGGCCCTCTCCACCACTCTGGGTTTTTTGCAGGTCGTGGATTGGAACTTGCCAAATTGTTCTTGGAAGAGAGTCAGAGGTGGAGCGCAAGCAGCAGGGAGGGGTGGGTGGGTGAGGGGGATGCCAGGCTGAGGCACACGCCAAGGTCACCGGGCTCTTTCTCTCCTTCCTCTGGGGAGGAGGGCTCTGGCCTCCCAGTGATCGTGGGCTGGCAGGGGTGGCCGGGCAAAGCCAGGCTGGGAGGGCTGTCCAGCTCTATCTGGTTCACCTCACCTTGTCCTTGGCTGCTCTGCCGCATCTGGGTCCAGAGAGAGAGAGATCAGGTGTGTTTGCCTGAGCCGGGGGAGGAGTTTTGGAAATACCTGTCTCCAGGCCACAAAGAGGAAGAATGCCACCTCTCACCATTAGTGTGATTCATTACTGTCACAGCTAAACTCCAGGGGGGCAGAATCAGCCAGCTCAAGCCAACGGCTGCTGATTTTATGGAGCCGGCCGCAGCCCTGTGCCTGCCTGCACAATACTGGGGCGCCTGCCAAGACAGCGATGGCAGGGCAGGTGAGGCTGGATCGGATGTCATGGAAGACTTGGGCCGGTAGGGGCTGGTATGGGGAGGGCCCGCTGCACCATCCGGAGGAGTGGGCTCCTGCCCCAGAGCCAGGCGCGGAGGCAGGCCGGTGGAGGAGAAGGAGGCTCAGGACATTCCCTGGTCTCCCCCTCTCCTCTCTAGCTGTGCGAGCTCAGGCACACCCCAGCATCTCTGTCACTTTCTTTGCAAAATGTAGTCCTTCCTAGCCATAGGGTGAGCTGGGCGCCAGTGTAACCCTAGGAAAGCCACGTAAGCCTCAGTTTCCTTACCTGTGCAATGGGTCCTTTCCTGTTCCCTCACAAGGTCAAAGTGATACAGTGGACATAAAAGCACTGAGACTTCTCCAGGCAGATATTATGTTATTAATGTTTACATTACCTTTCATTTCCTTATGCATCCTTTCTTTGATGGGGGGGGGGGCCTCCTGTCTGTCAGACCTGGGTTCGAGTTCTGCCTCACCTACATATCAGAACAGTTTCCTCCTCTGGAAGTTACGTATCACAACACCAGCTTCGCTGAGTCACTGGAAGGAACGAAGCAGCTCAAGGAAGCAAAAACTCTTTGGAACTCTCGAGAACCATGAAATGAATGGAATTGTTACCAGTGAGGATTTCTAGGCACCGGACTTTGAGAAGACACATATATTTAACAGACACCCTGAGCTGAGTTCTTGAGATTGGCCAGACTTGGCCATCTGTGAAATAAATGACAAAGATGTCATTATAAAGCCAGGTGTGAGCCATCTGGGCCACACCAGTGTAATCCAGAAGGTCACCGAGGAAAAGCAGGAGCAGAGAGGGTGGGCTTGCTCCTGGAGGTGGTGGGGCCTGGAGCTGCTTTTCAGAGATGAGGGGCAGGGGGAAGTGGGTACTAGGAGGTGAAGGACCGCAGCTGGAGAGAATAGCCTCTATTCCAGTTCAAGCTCTGACGTGAGTTCCGAGAAAAGTCAAGAATGTATTTCTCTCCAGGGTATTCGCTGTGGGAGAGGTGGGTCAAACAGGTTCGCCCTTGTCAGCTGCTGGAGAAACAGAAGAGGACGTCCCCATCCCCTGCCAGCTCAGGGAGCAGAAAGCCTTGGTGACCTTGACTCTCCTAGTACATTGCCCTTTGGCAGCTCCCAGGACCTGTGTGCCCCACGGCTCCGTCATCTTGAAGCTAACACTTAAGGAATGGACCCTCCAGGACCCACCTCCCCTGGCCTCGCCTTATAAGACCCCAGTGACCCTGGCATCGGCGGCGACTGCAGGAGGCAGGAGCCAACCCTCTTTGGGGTTCAGGACCTCTGGGCAGCACAGATGGGGCCTGGGAGCTGCCACCTTCCCTGCTGAGGCTGAGCGGCCACGCAGGCCATGCAGCTGCAGATCGACCCCAGCCAGGAATCAGGGCTTTCTAGGGGCTTCTGGCTTCTTCCCAGCTGCAAGCCAACACCAGCAGGATTGCGGGGGCCCTGGAGCTCAAGGCTGTGCGCTCTGACGTGCAGCCCCAGACATGGGGGAGTGGGAGCAACCCCTCTTGGGAAGGCTGCTGGTGAGGGCCTTTGCCTGTGGCTAGCTTTTGAGCACCAGGCAGACAGTGCTCAGCTGATGTTCCCGCATGCCGCCTCCCTACCCCAGCAACCCCAAAGTGACCACCCAGACTATTGCCCCGAGACTGAAGATGCTGCTTGGGGAAGACAGGGGAGACTGAGGCATGGCAACCAAGGACATTGTCCCACTGGGTATGACAGTGCTGGAAGAGGGACCGGGACTTGGGGCTCCCTCTCCATACCTCCCAAAGGTCTCCTTGATCTGTGGGTCTTGGGAGGAAAGCAGTGTACGGCTGGATGGTCCTCTTTGGCTCTAGCCTGGACCACTCAGACAGAGGGAGGGCGGCCTGGGGTGGGTCTTTGCCTGCCCTATGGCCTTTCTGGGACAGCAGAGTAGCACTCCCACCCCATTTGGCCCCATATCCTGAGAAAGACTAAAAGAAGAGGGGCAACCAGACCCCAGGAGCGACCAGCGGTGCTGCGTAGGTGTGGGGAAGGAGAGGAAAGTTGGGGGTGAGGGTTGGATGGTGGGCCGGCAGAGATTGTGCTGAGGGTCAGAGAGCGGGAGGTGCTCTGGGAACATGCCTTAGAGGTCACCTTGGCAAGGGACTTAGCCCAGGGAAGGGATTACAGTGAGGGTCCTTGCCTCCTAGAAACCCATCTCAGGTGAGGATAATGAAGTCAACCTTGATTAGGACCTTCTTTGGCCAGGCCTTTTACCCACATCATCTCAATTTCTACAAGAACCACGAAAGGTAGGTGTTTCATCCCATTTTACAGATGGAAGGACAGGTGACCTTTCCCAGCATCACAGAATCCACAGCGAAGTGTTGGGATGCAAAGGAGCTTAAGTGTGGCGAGTCTGTGCCACAGGGTGGCCCCCGCATGGAGGGACACATGGGAGGAGTGGCTCTCCTGGGTGGCTCCCCGGGCTTCCTGGGCCGCAGGCCGAAGGAGCCGGGGCCTCCCTGCTGAAGAGCAGGGTATCTCTGAGCCAGGGGCTCCTTTGGCCCCAGTGACAGCCAGGCTGATGATCTCAGCTGGAGGTGGACAAGAAGAAGTCTGAGGGAGGACTTGGGTATGAGCAAGAGAGAGTAGACCTTCTTGACTCTTAGCCCCAGGCTTCCCCTGAAAGGAGAAATAAATGCTTGCGTGGAAGTTGCTGCAGGTCTCTGGGTGAAGCGCCGGGGGGAGTAGAGGGTGGGGATGGAAGGACTCTGGGGTAGCCGCTGGCAAGACATGGGGGTGGCCGACCACCCACTCTTTCTCCGTGGGGGCAACCTAGTTCCTGTTACCTATTAGAGGGTGGGGATCTCAGGGGAAGAGGCTGCGTTAGGCAAGTCCTGGGCCTCCCTGAGCCACTAGAGAAATGACTTCAACTCTGGGATGCATTCATTTGTTTAACAAAACTGGGGGTGCACCATGTGCCAGGTCCTGTTCTAGGCCCTGGGAATCTGCAAATGAACACAACAAAAATCCTTGCTTTCCTGGAGAAAACAAAACAAAACAAACTAAGAAAGGGATTTGAGACGTTTCAGAGAGTGGGTGTGAACATTTTAGATTGGAGTGCCAGGAGGGGTCTTCTGAGTCAATCAGTGAAATGAGGTGTGAGCAAGGTTAGCCAGGAAGTTCTCTGGAGGAAGAGTGTTCAGGAAGAGGGAAGAGCCAGTGCAAAGGTCCTGAGGCAGGAGCATGCCTGGAGGGTTAGAAGAGCATCAAGGAAACCAGTATGGCTGGAGCAGAGAGAAGGGACAGGGAAGTTGGAGACAAGGTCAAAGATGTCACTGGGGCCAGATTAAGAAGTGTCCTATAGGACACAAAAAGGACTTTGGTTTATTCTCTGAGGCTTCAAAGGGTTGGAGCAGGAGAGTGAACCCTTTATAAATGATGGGGACGGGTAGGATGACTTTGGACGCCCTTTCCAGTTAGCCAGTCCAGGACACAGGGTCTCCATTTGGGATCAAGATGCCTTCCTTTGCAGCTTTAGGAGCTGGTAGGGAACACAGAATGTGTGTGTCGGTGTGTGTGTTTGCGGGAGGCTGTGAAGGGGGTTCTGGCTGAGATCGTCACGTTTCTGAACCACTGATATGTTTGGACCAGGTAACTTCTGAAGTGTCATCCAGCGCTGAGATTTCTGAATCTTTCCAAGTGCCCGGCTTGGAGAATTTCCGCTCGACAGTCCTGAGCTGTCTGAACGTGCAGGTTTCCACTTGGGATCATGTGACAAGGCCGGGTCGTGGGAGCAGCTCGGCCACGGGGCAGGGCCCTCGGGACAGACCTCAGCCCCTCCAGATCACGCCCCTCCAGGCCTGCCCTTCTTCATTTCCAGAACGTCTTCCAGCCGGGAGGTGGCTCTCTGGGGGTGTCATTAGTCATCCCCTCAGGGCAGGAGATTCTGCTAAGGAGGGATGGAGAGGCAAGTCGTTGTCTGACTGGAGCAGGGGGTCAGAGCCGGGGGCCAGAACCAGCACCTCCCAAACCCTGCTTTTCAGTGTGCATTCTGGGGCGGCCGAGTAGGGTGGCCCCCAAGTCACCGAGGGAGATCCCGTGCTCCGGAGTGAGCCACACCCAGCCTGCTTGTTGCGACCTTGCTCCAGGCCCTCAGAGGCCCCGGTGGCCCCGGGAACTGAGACTTGGCTGAGCCAAGGCAGGGGGCCGCACCTCCCTGGAACCCGAAGGGCTGTCTTCGGGCCGTCCCCCTCTGGCACCAACCAGCAGCCCTCAGAGGCCGCGTTAGGCTGCTACGGGTTGGCTGCCATGGAGTGGCTCCACACCAGCAGCCCCTCCTGGCCCCCAGCTGCTTCCCATGTGGGCCTTACTACCTGCAGCTGCGGCCTCAGGCCTGGCCCTGAAAAGCGCCCCCGCCCCCCCAGGGCAGCTACCGAGGGGTCTGCTGGCATTCTGTGCCATCTCAGGGGACGCCGGCTGCAGAATGAGACCCGAGGGCAGGACATGTCGGGGCGGAGGCCCTACTGGGCTTGACGGGGGAGGTGCAGCTGAGTAAAGGTTTGGGGGGGCCCATAGATGACCCTCGGGGTCTCCCTCAGTCACCCCTAGGGTGGCCTTTGCAGGCGCCCCAGGCTTCCTGGGGGGCGCGGGCTGTGGTGTCTCTCCTGTGGGGGCAGAGGGGCAGCGGCTGGGGCTTGCTTTGCTGTGGCTCCCAGCTTCCCCCTTCCTCGGGTAGAAGTCAGAGACCCTCTGATGGGGATGCCTGGCACAAGGTGAGGGCTCCCTTGCCAGCTCTCCTCCCTGACTCTGTCTCTTCCTGCCCCCCCCCCCGGGGGGAGGGGGAGGAGGTGTGGAGGAGGGAGGGCCGCACTTTCCAGCCAGGCCCTTGGCAACCCATGCTTCACCACTCTCGTCCACTGAGGACTCCCCGGCCGCTCCTGCCATGGACAGGTGGTACCTGGGTGAGTCCCCTGAGCCCTACGCCCCCCGTCTGCTCAGACTCGGACACGGGTGTCCACCTCCTCACTTTGAGGTGCAGCCACCTGCTCCCCAGAAGTGCAGGGAAAGCCGAAGCGAGGACAGGCAGGATTTCTCAACAAGGGCATCTCAAGGTGGAATCCTGGATGTGTGGGGATCTCTGCCCTGAGCATCTCTGAGCTGCAGGAGCTAGGAAGACAGCTTGTCCAACAGCCTCCTTGTCTGCCTGTCTAGCCACCGGTCCATCTGCAGGAATTCCAAAGCCGGGCTGCTGGGTTCAAATCTTGTTTTCCCCACTCCCTCGCTGCCTGACCGCCGGCAAGTTGTTTAACTTCTCTCCTCAGTGTCCTCATCTCTAAAATGGGCATCCTGATGATGGCTTCCTTACCTCAGGGTTGTTGTGATGATCACATGCTTAATTTTTGTTACGTGCTCAGAACAGGGTCTTGCACATAGAGTTTAAAATTCAGATAACAACTTGTTTTTCATATTTCTGCCACCATCTCTCCCTCCCTCCCTCTCTCCCTCCCTCCTTCCCTCTCTCTCTCTCTCTCTCTATCTATCCTTTCCACCCATTTTTATATCCACTATGGCAGATAGAATCCGCAATAGCTTACAGAGATAGACAAAACGCACTAAGATACCGAGACAATGTGTGGTAAGGGGCACTGGTGTCTCGTGTAGAGAGCGACAGTAGCTTTGGGAGCACAGCCTTGCGGGTCTGGCTTTCTAGGCCTGGTTTTGTCACTAACTGGATGTTGCAGGCCAATCCCTCAAGCTCCTTGCCCTCAGTCTTCTTGTTCTGCCCAGTGGGGCTCATGGCCCTGCCCTGGCCACCTCCAGCGGTCTTGTTGCAGGGAGCAAATGATCAGCCTCAGCTTCTTCATCTGTAGAATGGAGCAAGCCCGGATTCAGTGGGACAGTGCATATAAAGAACCTGACAAGGGACACCTGGATGGCACAGTTGGTTAAGCGTCTGACTCTTGGTTTCGGCTCAGGTCGTGATCTCAGGGTGGTGGGATCGAGCCCTGCATGGGCTCTGCACTCACAGGGAGTCTGCTTGGGATTCTCTCTCCCTCTCCCTCAGCCCCTGGCTCACACACACTCGCTCGCTTGCTTTCTCTCAAAATAAATAAATCTTAAAAATAAATAAAGAGCCTGACACATGGTCAGCCCCTACTAAGCATTAGCTGTGCTATAATATTCTCATGAATATTCATTGCTCGGCTCTGAAAGCAGAGAGTAGAATGGATGTCACAGCTCCTGGGCTGCAGGGCCATGGCCATGACATTCTCTCTCCATCTCACCCCCATGCTGATTTTCGCTGGAGGGGGGTTGGCTTTCCTGCGTCCAGCAGTTAATGTTCAACAAAACATGAATGCCCTTTATTTTCCAGTTGACACAAATATGACGGTAACTATAGTGACACTTGCTGTGTCCCAGGTCGTATGCCCTGCTCTTCACATGCATTATCTCCTTTCTCTGCACAACAACTCCCTGAGGCAGGGAGTAGTCCCATTTTACAGACGAGAAGACTGAGGCGCAGAGAGGTTCAGTGACTCGACAGAGGCCATTTACTTAGCAAATGGAGGAGCCAGGAAATGAACTCAAACCTTGATCCCCTGCAACCACTCCAGGGGGATTAACAGAGGGATTCATTCCCTTTGGAAGGAGCAGTCCATCCTTGGTGGACACTGACTGCTGGCTTTGGGCCCTTGGCTACCATTGAACATTAGCCTCTTCTGGAGGCCAGTTCAATGGACTAGAGCTCAGCCAGGAATATGAGCACTCATGGAGTACCCAGCCCTGGGGTCTCTGGGGTGAAAGAGGCCGCCGCAGAGTGGGGAGGCAGCCTCGGAGGTGTGGGAAAGCACCTGACTCCTAAAGCCTAAGGCCTGCCTGTCCATCCTCCACCTTAACCCTCACCGGCTGTGTGACCTGGGGCCAGGGCCCTACCCTCTCTGTGCCTCGGATGCCTCATCTGTAAAATGGGAAATAACACAAGGCACAAGGGGATACTAGTTAGGCAAGTGCTTTGTGAGTCAGAAAAGCAAGCCCTTCTCCAGGTGGTAGGCTTGGCCCCTTCCTGAAGGAGCTGACAGCGCAACCCGGGAAACTGGCATGGGAGCAGCTAGACTGCAGAAGGAAAATGCCAGAGGCAACAGGGAAAGAGATTAGTTAGGGGTGACTGGAACCTTTCTGATGGAGGTGTGAGCTGCTGGATGCAGCCCCGAAGGGTGAAGGAAACAACAGGAACGGGGCAGCTCAGGCCTGGAGGCAGGAACGCGCACGATGGGCTCGGTGTGGGCCTTGTGGTGGGAGGGGGGCAGGTGCCTGGGGACGTCCGCAGGGAAGCCCCGGATGCTGGGTCGGAAGTAGCAGCTGAGCTGTGGTCTCCGTGGTCTCCGCAGTGGTCGGGGAGGTGGGCGGCTGCTGGGGTGGGGTGGCGTCTGTGGGGCCCCCGACGTGGCCCCTCAAGCGCTGGTAGACACTGAATATATTTTGAAAGTCCCACTTCCCCCGTGCCCCAGCCCCAGCCACAGCTTCTCCAGCCGGTGGAAGAACACTGTGGCCTACCCGTCCCCAACCCTTCTCTGGAAATTTCCTTTCGGGAGGGTTTGGAAACTCAGCCAGCTCGTCCCTGCCCCTGCGTGCGCCCACACTTCCTCCTGCCTCCGAGGGAGCCCCTCCGCTCACACGAGGGCTTCTCTCGTGACCAGGGTAAACATTACCTGGCACTGTTAATGTTTAATGCCCCCACCTCTCCCCTGGCCACCCGCAGCCAGGTGCTCTCCCCCGAGCAGAGGCAGGGGAGGGCAGCCGGGACCAGCCCGATCAGCTAGGGGAATGGCAGCACTGTCCCTGGACGATGGTGAGTGTGTGTGTACGTGTGTGAAGCAGGAGGTGGCCTCTCCTTGGACCACCTTTGAGGGGATGAGCTGGACCCCTGGCACCCCTGCCTTCCAGGGACCCCAGCACCCCTCCCCCAACCTTGCCAGCCTCCTAAGAGGATTTAAAAAAATTGCTTTGAACAAGAGGGTCCTGCCTTAAGTCTGAAGGAATAGAGCTTGAATGGCAGAACCTGGGGTGCCAGGTAGGAGCTGGGGGATGGGGGCGGGGATGAGCTCCTATCTTGACTCTCCGGCAGGCACCTGTCCTGGTTCAATGTATTTTTTGGACTATCTAAGCTCAGAGCGGGAGGTGGAGGGGGATCAGGCTGGCTTTGGGGCCAGAGCCCCCCAAGTGTGGAGGGACACCGCCAAAAGGATCCCGTGATGGGGGTGACTCGGGCCTGGAGGCCAACAGGGACCTCTGTTGACTGTGGTGGGCTTTGAGCCAGACCTAGAAAAGACGAGGGCTTTGGGTGGGCGTGGGTTCAGTGAATGGCTCAAGACAAGGGACGAAGGAGGAGGCGGCTCCCTGGTGTGGTGAGGGGAGCCGCCAACCTAGTCATGGCTCTGGGGCTAACTCCCCATGTCACCCTGCACAAGAACTGAATCCAGAGACAACGCTGATGGGCTCCCACATGGGGACAGGCTCCTGGGTCCCCATAGCCCTCCCCTAGAGGCCCAGGCACTGGCTCCCTCTGGCCAGGGAGGCTGCACAGGGGACACCCTGTGGTGTCCCCAGGCCCCCAGGCCCCCCACCACCCAGGGCACAGTTCAGCACAGCCTGGGAGGTGCCGACTTGTGCATCCCTTCTACCTCAGGCACTGCCTCCTTAGTGCCGAGAAGGGACCCGATAGAGGGTAGGAAAGAGGGGCCACCCCCCACCATGGCCGCAAAACTCTGGCCAGGTGCCCTCGGGCTGCCCAAAGGCAAGTGTGCTCAGTTTCCAGGGCTGGAGGGCAGAGCTATGACCTCTGGCGCTGAGTAGCAACACGTTGGGTGGGCTAACACTGTAGGACACAGGGGACTGGACCATACGTGGCCTTGAAATGTCTCGTGCCTTCTGACCATCTGAGGGGCAATGTAGCAAAGGGGTAAGGCGCCTAGATTCTTAGCAACCTATTGCCTGGGTTTAAGTCCCAGCTCTTCCCCTTTATGCTGTGTAACTGTGGGGGCGTTACTTAACCTCTCTGTGCCTCCAGCTTCTAGGGATTGTATTGGAATCATATTAATGCTTCACGGGATGCCTGTGACGGTAAAATGAGCTAACGTTTTGTTAGCCTTCGCCTAGCGGGTGGTAAACACTATATATTAACGATTCTTAAAAGAATTTGCTTCCCCTTGAGGATGGAAACATAAGAGAGAAGGATCTAGAAACCTGAGTCCAAGACCCAGTTCTGCCCCCAACTTTCATGGGGGACCTTCAACAGGTTCAGTTTTCTCCTTCTGTGCAGTGGAAGTGAAGGGCCTCTTCAGTTCATTCATTCCACAAGTATTTGCGACGCATCTTGCCGTTGATTAGTCACATGGAGGGAGGCTCCATGGGTCCAATGGGAAATGTCTCCCATGGCCTTGCTTACGGTTGTAGAAAGAGAGGAGAGGAAAGAGCCAACCCTCCCAGAGTTGCCGGAGGCCCCCACAGGCAGCACGGCACCCTGCTTGGATGCTTGGTGTTTGGTCCCAAGCTGATTGTCTCCGAGGTGGCCCAGGACAGATGCCCCCACTGGCAGTGGCCTTAGCAGGCCCACCAGCCTCCTCTTGCCCACTTGGACCCTTGGGGCTGCCGGGAAGGGAAGGATGGGAGGTCCACTGTTTCTGTGGCTGGCTCACCCTGCCTCTGGCTCTCTCCTCAGGCGGCAGCCCCACGGACGATGTGGACCCATTCTACTACGGTAAGCCTGGTGGGCCCCCCTCCTCAGCCTGCCACCACACACAGACCCCCGGTTCCTGGCATCCCCTGGTTATGGCCACCACCTTCCCCTGGTAGCCTGGGGCTGCTGCTGGGGTGGGATGTGGGAAGGGTGCCTGGGATGACCCATCCCACCTCCTTGCCCTCTCCTTCCTCAGACTATGAGACTGTCCGCAAGGGGGGGCTCATCTTTGCTGCCCTGGCCTTCGTCGTGGGGCTCATTATCATCCTCAGTAAGTGGGGCTTTCGGAAGGGGCCGCTTCATGGGGCCCTATCTCTTCTCAGAGCCACTGAGCACGGGTTCCCCAGGCGGGGGTCGGGGAAAGCCCTCTCACCCTCTTCTCAGATCCCAGAAGGGAAGTGAGTTTCTCCCTCCCCTCCATTCCCCTATGCAGGATGTGGGAACTGACAGATACCCTGATGGACACAGGCTTCTTGGGACGCCTCCCTGCTTGGTCCTTGGGCCACACAGAGGACGTGCCCTTTTCCTCCAGTGCGCCCTCTGGTGGCCCTGGGAGGAGCTGCTGAGAGGGGAGAGCTAGCTGTGCCCAGCCTGCGAGGGACACTCCAGCACACGGGGTTCAAGCCAGGGGAGGGAACCAACCTCCACTGGATACCTCCCTTGGCCAGATCTGGGCACTTTCCTTGCTTGGCATGAGCTACATCTCAGTCCATTTAATCCTCTCGGCAACACTGAGGGATGGCCCCTATGGTCACATTCTACAGAGGAAAAGCTACCCACCGTGACAGGTGCAACAACTTGCCCGGGGGGCCACAGCCAATCAGAAGCAGAGCTGAACTCAGCTGAACCCAGGGGTGTCCACCTCCCACCCCATCCCACCGACTGCTGGAAAGCAAGTGTGGCTGGGAGCCAGAGGCATTCGACCCCATCACCAGTTTACTGTGTGTGGATCCCTAACTCCCTGGGCCTCAGTTTGCTCATCTGTTAAATAGGGATGATCCTACTGATCTCATAAAGTTAGGGCTAGCATGACAGCCAAGGGAGTACTCAGGGGCAGGCCTAGAGTGTTCTGGAGGAGAGACGGGTCCTTGTATATCCCCTAGCCCCAGTAGGCACACAGCAGGGTTTAGTAAATGCTCATTGACTTGGTTTGGTGCAACCAGAAGAAAAATACACAGAAACACAAACACCTCTGCGTCCTGGGATTCTAACCCGTCCATGGTTGGTGCCATTCCATCTGAGGGCTTCTGTCTGCAGACATGGCTGCTCTCCCCAGCTCAGCTGGAAGGGTCTTGTGGGCAGTACTGGGTCGTGGTCCAGCACACAGGTACAGGGGGCAGACAGGCCTGAGCAGAGATCTTGGCTCTGGACTTATGGTCCTCCTCCCCCAGGAGCATATTGAGCAGCTACTATGTGCTCGGCCCTGTGCCGGGGGCACCACCATGGCCCCTGCTTGGCCACTGCTCTCAGCAAGCTCACGGTCTACCACGGAGCCGCTGCGGTAAATGTTTGTTGACTGACTGACGGATGTACCGACTGACTGAATGCTTATGGCCCAGCTCCATATAAAGACAGAAATGGTCCACTGTGGCTCTGGTGGGCGGGAGGGAGTAAAGGCTCCAGGGCTGCATCCTTCAGGGCAGAGAGGCTCTCCCTGGAAGCAAGAGGTTGATGGAAACTCATCTCCTTTCTCCCTTCAAGGCAAAAGACTCCGCTGTGGGGGCAAAAAGAAGCACGGGTGAGTGCCTGCTTAGGGTCCCTGAGTGGGGTGGGGACACTGGGGGGAAAGGAGGCGTAGGCCAAGGATTTTGGTCTCCGAAGCCTGTGAGGAGGGGTCCCCGACTTCAGGGACCCTGAGACTCACCACATCCCCCTCTGACTTCTTCCTCTCTTTTTCCCCTCCCCCACCCCAGGCAAGTCAATGATGATGATCTGTAATGACAGGTGAGTTGGGGAGGGACAGGTGAGGGGGGAGCCAGGGATGGCTCTGGAGAAATCAGGGAGAGCTTGGGACGGAGCCGGGAAGGATTTCAGGGTCTTCCAGCCTCCAGCCAGGTGGTCTGCCACCCACCCTGGCTTTTTGATTGATGGCCAAGTGTCTGGTGTGGCGTGTGTGGCCAAGGGCGGGGGCAAAGAGAAAGGTGAGATGAATAAGGAATAAAAGAAAAATCCCTACTCCTGCCCCCATTGCAACCCAGACCCTGTCTTTGTCTTTTCAGAGTCAGCCGTACTGCCTTTGCAGTGGGGCCTTGGGAAGCCTTCCCTGAGCTGCAGACCTTTGTCCCCAGCACTGCCAGGCCCTCGGGCTGAAGGAAGCACCAGGCTCCAGGTGACCCCTGGGTTTTCATGGCCTCCTCCCAACCCCAGGCTGCCTCATGTTAATAATAAAGCCAGCCTCAGAGACACAGCTCCTTCCCTGGCCTCCCTCCTTCCCTCCCATACCTGCCACAACCCACTCGTCCTTCCAAGCTGGAGTACAATGGAGCCATGACCTTGGTTTTCAGTGAATTGCTCAGGTGCCCATGCCTACTCATCATCTGCAGGCCTCTCCTTGCCCCCCGAATTGCCAGGAGCCCCGAGGACCGAGGACTCAGCCTGCCTTCCGCACCCCAGGGAGAGAAAGCCGGGAAGTGTGAAGGTCAATGACAAATGGGTGCCGCTTTGGTATCTGCTCAGGCCCTGGGTGCTGCTACTGGAGCTCTCTGCTGGGAGTTCCTGCAGATGTGCCCTGAGCGGCCAAAGTCGTAGCTGTTTGTGACCATAGTACGTGCTCTGCCACCTCCCAGGAGCTCCAGCATGCCAGGATGGGTGGGCCTGGGGGCCTTGGTGTGTGCCTCAGCACGCGCTCTCTCCTGACCCTGGTGCTAAGCTCAGGCCACTCCCTTTCTGCTCTCGGGGCTTGGGAGCCCCCCACCGCACCTGTTCTCCTCCACCTATCTGGGTGCTGCCTTGGTTAATCCCAGGGCCAGGGAGCGGACAGGGAGGGTGCGGACCTCCAGCCCTGTGCACTCTGGCAGGGACCCAGCCGCCGGCCGCAGGAGCCACGATGGTGTCAGTCTGCTTCTCTGCCCAGAGCCCAACTTCCTGAAGCCTGTGGCCCCCTTGCGGCGCAGCATGCTCCCCTCTGGCAGTTTCTGCACTCAGAAGGAGCCCATCTTCCCTCTCCTGCTCTTCCGTGTCGAAGGGATGGGGTGGCAGGATCACGGCACCACCTAGTGTCCATTTTCCCCATCTGGGTTTGTAAGCCTGCCAGGGAGGGGAGGGGAGAACTTGGCAGGAGAACCCAGACAGCAGCGAGCTAGTGGAGTTTACAATGAACAGGGGGGTCATGGGTTCAAGCCCCGCACTGGGCGTGGAGCCTACTTAGAATAAAAATTTAAAAAAATATTTTTAAATTTAAAATGAACAGGGTATATTTGGGGGCCAGAGGCAGAGTAGACCACCGTTCCACTTGCAAATTCAGTTCTTTGTCTAAATCCACAGACCCCAGGTCCTGAAGACCACCAAGCCTCACAGAATCACAGAAGGCTTGAACACAGAAGGTCCTTAGGGAGCGAAAGAGACAAGCTTCACTTCTCAGAAAGGGAAACTGAGACCGTAGGAAAGGCAGGGACTTGTCCAGGTGACACAGCTGGCCTGTATCAGGGCCAGAGCTAGAAGCCAGCTCTCCAGTTCCCATTCCAGCATTCTCACTGACACCTGACGGTGGTGGGCAGATTCCCCACTGACCCCCTGTGGGCTTGGAAAGCCGAGGGAAGAGAGAGAGGGCCTGGCTACTTACACCTCGGGGCCGAGGTCTTTGCGACACCCTGCTCCAAACGTGGGCTCACCAAAGACAAATAAAATGGGACAGGCCACACCCCTAAATAGAATTCAGTATTTCCATACACAAGACGGAGCGTGTACCGGACCTGTCCATCCTGGTGGGAGAAATGAACAGGAACGGGGTGGGCCCGGCCAGGGGTGCTTTCCCGAGGAGGTTCGCTCCTGAAGCTTCTTGAATGTAGCAGCAAGACAGACAGGAGGAGGGGGTGTTCCAGGTCTGTGGCCCAGAGCAGTGGAGAGGAGTTAACACTTCTAGAATGTTCTATACACCAACCTCTGAGGGTGCCAACTAGGAGGGGCATTCTAGCTGTTCCACAGGGGAAATGGTCCCAGGTGAGCCACTCCGCTCTCCACCCCTGCTGCAAACCCTCCGCCCTTGTGAAATGTGAGGCTCCTATGGGTCCCAGGTTATGTACCCCAGAGAACCCAGGGAGCTGTTAGAACCACCAGACACCCAGCATTCCCTCCAGACCTATTGAATGTGACTCTTGGGCTGGGGCCCACGAAAGTTGATGGTTAACAAGCTCCCAGGTGGCCCCAGAGAGGGGCCAGGGCTGAGAACCACGGATCTAAGCGACATTCTGAGGTCTGTGACCTGTTCGTGGTTCAGGGCCTTTATGAATACTTTCCCTTCCCTCTCCACAAAGGTCACATGCCCTGGGAACTACTGAACTTTCACTTCACTCTGGGATTTTTCACAATTCAGACACAAATTGGGTCACAAGGAACAACCAAGCCTGGGAACGACTGGATGAATGACTCTTGATCACCCAACAGCAACAACAAAAAACCCTTGTCTGAGGGCATGCAATCCCCCTTGTCACCACCAGAGAGAGCATGCGTCTTAGTCTTAAAGCTCCTTCAAATTGGAGTTTTCAACTCTGTCTTTCCGGGGCCTGGGTCCTTTGCAGAAGGTAGGGCCCCCTGAAACCAGGGAAAGCTTTGAATTCTTCTCAATCCGTTTGCACATCCCTCGGGTGTATCGCTTGCCCTATTCTGGGGTGATTCTGGGCTGTGGGTCTCGAGTCCTCACCCCTTCTGGAAGGCAGTGATCATACATGCTCTGCATATCTTCCGCAGCACTTGGGGTAACCACGAAGCCTCCAGCCCCATAGTTGGAGCTAATCAACGTCATGAGCAGGACCCGAGAGAGGCAGAGGCGCTGAGCACCGGCATCTGTGGGGCGGCAGGTGGGAGAAGTTGGTTGGTTGTCTGAGCGGCTCTGCCTAACAAGAGCCTGGGCCACAGAGATTCTGGCTTAACTGATGAGATGCTGGTCGTGTTTAATGCCACCCCCAGGAGAATTCGTTCTGGAGGTGAAGTTGCAAGTTATTAGCTTACTAGGTGGGCACAGCTAGGGCGGTAAGGAGAATGGGAGGCAGGGGAACAGATATGGGGTGGAGACTCAGATGGCCCCGGAAAACTTGACCTGCTTCACGGTCTGGGGAGACGGGCAGACAGTGCCACCCTGCCCCAGCGGTGGCCTCACCCCAGCTCTCTCATGAAGGTACTTTCAGGGCATAAGAGGTACGTGCTGGCCTTGGACACTAGGGCCCTGAGATCTCCTGAGCCTGCGCTACCCTGGCCTTTCCTCACCGGCCTCCATGCGGCGGAAGGGCTGGGCAGGAGGTCAGGGTGGGACAGTATTAGCTGGTGACCCTGTCAGTGTCGCCCCTGTCCTAGGCTGGAGCGCCCACTGCCCCAGCCTCTGTACACTCAGGCATGGGGAGCTCACATATGTGTGGGCTGGGGGGTGGGGGCGGAGATCCCCTCTTGGACACTCTGGTTAGGTGGCCTGTTGGGGGAAGCTCTCCTCCCTGCCCTTGGTTTCCCCATCAGAGGGACTGGAGGCTCGGACTGGATGGTCCCTGGATCCTACAGGTGTTGCTCTCCTTTCCAGAGTGAGGACGCCCCTGCCTTAGGCCTCTGATTTTTCTAAATTTTGGGGCCTTGGGGGACTTCCCGTCATCCCCAGCAATCCCAAACTCTCCCCAGCTGAGCAAGGAGGGGGTGCCCCAAAGAACCTACCCCGAGCATCTACTCTGGTCCTACCTCTGTCAGAGGGAGTGGGGTCTCTGGGCAGACAGGGAGGCAATGCGGGTAGGGGGCCCTGCTGACGAGGGCCCAGAGCAGAGACGAGAGCTGAGCCTTCCCCGACGCTCCCCCTGCTCCTCCTTGCTCCAGGCAGGGTTGCTGCCGAAGAGATTAATGCCTCCCTGTTGATCCGCGGCCCCAGGCAGCTGAGCTCTGAACTGCAGTTCGGCAGAGGCCTCTGGGGCGGCAGCGGCGTGCCCATTCTTCATCCTCCGCCTGATGCACGCCTGGCCAGCAGAGATCAGAGGCAAATGCCACAGCCTCCAGGCCCTGTCCTGTGGTGGCGGTGAGTCCCTGGCTGGGAAGATGGATCAGGCAGGGCCTGGGAGCCAGGACCATGGCAGCCTCCATCCAGGGCCGCGGGAGGGCAGTACTGAGCCCTGGGCTGGACTGCCAGAGCCAGAGGGGCCCCCAAGTGACCCAGCCATGGAAGAAACCCCCGGCTCAGCCTCAGTGCCCCCCTCGCAGACTGGGGACACTTTACATTGAGCGACCGAGGGCTTGGGAAGCCATCCTACTTAGAACTTGGAACCTGGATGCCCAGGGCATCAGCCCCGACCCTGGAGGGGTTAGGGGTGTGGCAGGGGAGACCCGAGTGAGGGGTTGACCCCGCCGGTGTGGATGGGTGTGGTGCCTGGCAGGAGCTGCCTGCGGGGGGTGGGGGGCAGCTTGTGTTTCCAGCTGGTTGGCCTGCCTGTGCCTACCCCGTGTGACCTCCCATAGTCCTGCTCCCCCAGCCCCCGGAGGCCCCCCAGGCTCTCCTGGCTGCTCTTTGCCTCTAGGGCTCTAAACTTTGGTTCCCTTTCCAAGAAATTCTCTCTGTCACTTCCCCACTGGGCTTCTTTGGTGTCACTAGGAGGAACTCCCAGGTGAGCGTGGCAGAGGATGGGGGGGTGGAAGTCCCGAGCTGGGCTGGCATTTTGTGGGCCCAGGACGCCCCCAGCGGTTCTGTGTAGCCGGAGCAGGAGAAGGTGGAGAACTGGTCTCACTGGCAGCCTTGCCCTGGGCCTGCTGTGTGACCTCGAGAAGGCCCTCATCTGTCTCTGGGCTTGGCGAAAAATCCCAGGCGTTGGCTTCCAAGTCAAGGGGCCGAGGGAAAGGGTCAGTGGGGGAGCTGTGGCTGATCCCTCTTTCCTTCCCGCCCCCAGGAGAGCCGGGCTTGGGGAAAGCGGGGGGTGTGCATGTGTGTGCAGACACACACACACACCACAAATACACACTTGCCTCTCCCTGGTAGTGAAGGCAGACAAAAAGACACACTCGAGAAAGCATAGGCGAGGAGGCCGGCTTGGCCCCGAGCCAGGAGCATGTTGAATTCTCTCGTGGTCTTTGTTTCCTGAAAGGCCTATCAATCAGTAAGAGTCGTGCCAAACCCAGCCTGCATGGGAGGTAGTGGGGTGTCCTCTGCTCCGAAGTAAATAATATTTCAGGTCTCATGTCCCCGGACCATATGTTCCCGACACAGTTAATAACATCATCCGGGAGTGGCCTCAGCCCTTACACACCTGCCGAGGGCATGAGTGGGATA